CAAGCTCGCTATTCGGACTCGGAAAACGTCGAAGAATTTCTACAAGAAATGGTGCGCCTGCGCGAGACGCTGGCGACCATGGGACACGCCCTGATGGAAGAAGAGTTCGCGATCACGCTTCTCACGGCGCTACCGGACAGCTGGGACCCGATGGTCAGCTCGATCAATCACGCAACAGATCTCAAGGATGCCGATGAGATCATCGCGCGGATCAGGCAACATGCAAGCCGCATCAACGACTCGGAGGTCGCGATGGCGGCGCGCGCAAAGAAGGGCAGAGGACCCCCTTTGTGCTATACGTGCGGTAAGCCCGGTCTGGCGCGCGACTGCCCTAACCACGACGCGAAGGACGCGAAGGGGAAGAAGAAGGGCAAGGGCGACAAGGACGACGGGAAGAGCGACAAGCGCAAGCCCAAGAAGGACGGGCCGAAGGCGCTGGCTGCCGAAGAAGATGGCAGCGACAGCGACTCCGATGAGTACGCATACGCGCTAATCGAACAGGTCGACAGCGATTTGGACGAGGACTCCGAGGAGCTTGCACTGGTGGCGCGGGTAGCTCGGGATGCTTGGGTAAGCGATTCCGCTACTACGGTGCACGTAGCACGCGCGCGCGCCGATTTTTTCAGGTATACGCCGACGCCCGGCGACAGTTTGAAAGGCGCAGGAGTCACGCCCATCCTCGGGCGCGGAGATGTCAAGATCGAATACGAGTACGACGGGCGCAAGACAGTTGTCGAGCTGCGAAACGTGGTCCACGCTCCCGGAATCCCTCACAACCTCATCGCCCTGGGGCGCGTTGAGGCAGGCGGACACTCGGTCACCTTACAAGACAGCAAGATAGTTTTCAAGAACTCAAAGGGACGAGCTTACGCGGAAGGCACACGGGTGGACAACCTGTACGTGATGCGCGCCACCACCGTACACGACAAGACACCGGATCTCGCGTGTGCGGCGGCGGTTACACGACCCCGCCGGAAGCGGACGTATGACGAGTGGCACCGCGCCCTCGGTCATATCGGTATGAAGGCTGTCATCGCCATGAAGACCAAGCACCTTGTGGAAGGCATAGAGGTGGACGAACGCGTCCCTCCCGCGGAGCAGTGCGAGGCCTGCGTCCGCGCAAAGCAGACCGTCGCACTGTACCCGAAGAAGTCGGACACGGTTGTGGCCGCGATCGGTGACCTGACAGTCATGGACCTGTGGGGGAAGGCCCCTACGACAGGGATCCGCGGTGAGAAGTTCTTCTCGACTTTCACTGACATGCACGCGCGTCGTACAGTTGTAGAATTCTCCAAGACGAAGACAGATGAGTTGGAACACTTCAAGGCGTACCAAGCACTCGTCAAGAACACCCACGGAGTCACCCTCAAGGCCGTCCGTTTTGACAACGGAGGCGAATATATCAGTAAGGACTTCATTGCCTACTTGAAAGCTGAAGGCATTACAGTACACACTACGACGCCCAAGTCCTCCGCACAAAACGGTGTTGCGGAGCGCGTCAATCGCACCGTGATGGACCGCGCGCTGGCGCTCCTCATCGCGGCAGGTCTCCCCAAGTTTCNCTGGCCCGAAGCCGTGGCCCACGTCG